TAGTGGCAAAGTAATGCAAAGTAGTGGCAACGTACGGGAAAGTAGTGGCAAAGTACGGCAATGTACGGCAAAGTGGTGGCAAAGTAGTGGCAAAGTGGTGGCAAAGTAGTGGCAAAGTAGTGGCAAATTAGTGGCAAAGTACGGCAATGTACGGCAAAGTAGTGGCAAAGTACGGCAAAGTAGTGGCAAAGTAATGCAAAGTAGTGGCAACGTACTGGAAAGTAGTGGCAAAGTACGGCAATCTACGGCAAAGTAGTGGCAAAGTAATGCAAAGTAGTGGCAAAGTTCGACATAGTAGTCATTGGCGGATTTAAATGGGGGCCGAGGCCCCCCTATTTTTATCAACCAACAGGGCTTCGCGCCATCGGCGCTCGCGAACTTGGCCTTAGGCTATCGTATCGGCCCCCCTATTCCAGAATCCTAGATCTGCCCCTGAAGTTGATCATATATACACATGATAGCCCATTTTTTTAAACTATTTCAGTGCATATCAATCAGCTAGTTTGCATATAAATGTTATCACTTCAGCCTAATTTAAAAATTGGTTCATGGATTTCAACTACATTTATCACATAGTTTGGGGGTTTTGCAGACTTCTTTAGAAAAGGAATAGCATTAATTGAGATCTGGATGTGACACAAATTGGATAATGCATGAACATGTTTGATTATTAATGAAGTTTGTGCTGGGTGTCTACCCCCAATAATCTACCCATTGATCTCTGATGCTGATTGTCCTCTTTTAGTGACACCAAGGATGCACGTATTCACAATACAATTCAGGTTCAAATACAGAGGAATGTACGTCTCCACTTTGACCTGATTACCTTTCTCTTATTTCGTGAATCCTTCGGCCCCTATATACTAGTCTGGAAATGTTGCCTCCATTTTGCTAGTACGGTCAGTGGGTGACCGCGACGTTGATTGGTTGATAAATTTACCATAACGCTACTCTGAATATCCTAATAACCAAACAATGGATGCGAAAGTTTTATGAAGTCCGTGCCGAGACTACCACTTTGTTCATGACATTTAAATCAATTTTCATTGACAATGAGCAATTGGGGCAACGTTTCAAGACGAGTATGGGTCCATGAAATGGTAGGGATGTAAAAAGGATAAAATGACTTATATTATTCTTTCTATTGTCTGATGAAAACTTTCTGTCAATAAAATGGGTATAAGATCCAAGGCAGTAGTACAAGACGAACTATAATAATAATGATGAATTCCCTCACAAACTACTTTTCAGACAACCTTGACGAAACAAAATATCAAGGACTTCCAACTTGCTTAGTTAAAGCGAGAGGGTCGTCACGCACACGCTAAAAACGCAAAGGCTCATAGGTAGACGCTTGTTTGTAAACAATGATACGCTATGGCCATCTGACGCATGCGTAGGGGATGACTCCTCTGCTTTAAAAACATTTCGTTTCCACAAACCGCACGTTTCCAGACTTTTAAAACACCCATTTTTGTTTTTTAACTTGGGTGACATTTCTATCTTCTGAATAATCTTTTGTTGAAAATTCTACACAAGTCTTCTTGACATTGCAAATGTCTAATACAACTCTATAAACCCCTTGTTAGTTTGAATTAAATATTTATAAATATGAAAAGAATACCTTTGTTGCACTGAAAGTACAAGAACTACTAAGACACTTAATGTTGCCAGTGAGTACAGTATTTATTTTAATTCATATAAAAAATGTTACACAATACCATTAATAGAAAAAGATGCCTCCAGAATATACAAGGTTGTATTCACAAATGGGAGTTAATAACATGCAAATCTCTACAAAACACACCAAACTATAGTTTTGACAATCAGTATTCAAAACATAATGACAATATCAGCAAATGAAAAACATTTAAATAAGCTATACTTAGAGTTGACTGCTTTAATTGGACTTGTAATGGCAATATAACCCTAAATGGCAGAAAATATCGTGGGGTGTGGGGGAGGGGTGTAGCAAGTAATTCTGGCAGTTATGATATCGAGTATGAGAGGCAGAATGAGCTACACATACAACTTTAGCACTGACAATCAGTAAAATGATGCAATAGAAA